TGTCCGCGCACTCCCTGGGACGGGCGTGGTGAATGACACCACCTTCGTCTTCAACGGGGTGTGTTCCAACTGCCGCGTCTGGTCGCGCGACGGGAACGTGGATGTGCAGAGCGCAGCGCAGGAGATGGTGTATGCCATGGGTCCCACTGATGGTGAACAAAGCGATGATACTGCGCTCTCGGTCAAGATGCATGCTAGCTATGGCGCTTTCACGATGGATCTCGTCCGCGCCACGGGAGCCGGTGGCGTACCTGTTATTGCGGCCAATGAGAACATCACCTCTGTCGGCGCGGTGCAGCAGTTGTCTGTTACTGGACATGTGGATAGCAAGGCTATACTGCACGCTGTGTTCATGGTGCTTGCGTTCGTGGGGATATACCCCATCGGTATCCTCGTGCTCCGCGTTGGCGGATCGGTGCGGTGGCATGCGATCAATCAGGTTGTTGCATTTGGGTTGGTTCTTGTTGGGGCTATTCTGGGGTTTGTTATTAGTACTACGTATAATAGGGTAAGTTCCTTCTTATTATTCGCGAACTTGATCGTCTCCATAGATTGAAAGGGGGGTTTCGAGATTTGAGGGAGGTCTGTTCACTAACTCGTTTCACAGAGCAAGAAATTCAATACGCCGCACCAGGTCATCGGCATCATCATTTTCATCTTCGTCATCGCCCAGCTCGTACTGGGAATCTTACACCACCGTGTATACAAGAAGACGCTGCAGCCAACCAAGATAGCGCCGTTTCACGTGTGGCTCGGGCGTCTGGTAATCCTACTGGGTATTGTGAATGGTTTTGTGTAAGTACATCTATCATCAATCCCTTCCCTCCTATTTTCATCTACAGTAATGTTCTAACTCGATGTACAGCGGCTTCCCACTCGCCTTGTCTCCCAGCTACGATTATGCCCTCCTCGGGGTAGTGTCGTTCGTTATACCAGTTTTCCTTCTGGTCTTGGGCGCCGGAACCATCATCAGACATATCAAGGGGAGGGCAAAGCAGCCGGAGCAGGAACTCGAACCTACGGGTTACGATTTAGAGCCATGGCGGCGTCAGGCTCAACCCGTCGCACAAGCACCGGCTGCCTATATGGTTGGAGATCCGTCAACGCCAACCCGCATAGGTGTTGCACCGCAAGGCGCTAGACAGTTTGTATGAGGGTTTGATATCATGCGGTTTTATTGTATGTTAAAATTCACTTGGGTCGGATTATAGGGTGGGATACTGGTAGGCGTTGGGGTATGGCTTTCAATATTGACGAATTTACGCATATGATTCTTTGATCAATCCATGTCTATATTCCTCTTGTAATGCCGCAGTCAGCTGAGATACTGGAAGGTGCCATTCGTGGTGCAGATATGTAGTATTCAGGCAAAATTGGGATGGAAGCAGAGCCAGCTGGCGATGATCTCGCCCTATCGTACCTGTCGATCAAAAAGGGAAAATGACCGCGACAACACATCACTAGCCTTGATTCATGTTCTACAGTGCTGTTACGGGAAGTTAAAAGTATTGTTTACGGGAAACGGAGGGGATATTTTATACTCACTTGGAATGTATTGAGGGGTTCGGATAGCTTATTGAGACAGATAGCCGATATATCACTGTTCTACGACTTAAGTTATATCATGCCAAATAAGGGTATTGAAGTTGCATTTTACGGTAGGAGCTCCGAAAGAAACATTAACATCAGCCAATAACAGCGGCAGGTATACAGGAAAAGTCGTGAACAACCACCGCAACCATGCCCTGGTGTATGCTTGGCAGATGTACCAGTAAATGAGCTCTACTAGTATTCGTATCCAGAACGTCACAATCGTAGTCGAACACTGCACTTCGCGTGCACATCGTGAGGAGCCTTTCTTTTCACAGACTATTCCCCGGCCGTGTCTTGGAATTTTATCATGTACTTTCAGTCAACAGGGCTCAGAAGTTGCACAGCTAACCCCCTACCTTATGGAATTATACCATTCTAGTAGCCATGTCATGCCAAGGCATTGATACGACCGACCAAGGTCTAGGTCTAACCTCTACCTTGAAATCTCGGTCTAGAGACAACCTCGTCATAGGCAAAATGGCTTACTCCTACCTCGCTACCGACTTCGGTGTACTGCGCTATCGAATGTCATCCAGTCGTGCCAGGCCTTCGGACCTGCAATGGTCCACGACCGTAACATCCAATTCCTATTATTAGGGTTCATTATATTGCTCGTTATTCATATTTGAGCTCATATAGCTCACCTCTACCGAGGTATCCCAAGGTGTACGTTCCGCACTTACAATACAAAAGTAAGCGCCCGTCGCAGATCTGTGCTCTATGGGGCTATTACACGCAAGGTATCGTATATCAAAAGGATCTCAACAATGGCTTTGAGAATCGCGCGGCTCTGTGTGGTGGTGGGATACTTGGCTCTCCGGGTTTCTGCTGTGTGTGCCGTCTATGGAGTCGATTATTCTAATGGCGGCTCATACAACATCGATGGGTCTTCCGACGATTTGTTCACTTTCACTTCAGTCTTCCAAGGTACCTCCAATTGCTTAAATATTAGAGACATCATATATTGATATTCGCTAGCTTGTGTTCAGGAATCGGTAAATCCTGTCCTATTCGATCCAGCTGGACACCAGTATACTTGCACGGCGATCAACACGACACCTGATGGCCAAGATGAGACGTCAACATGGTGAGTTCTAACTTACTGTTCCTCACCACTTCAAGACATAATATTAAATATCAACCAGTGCTATAGCATACTCTTCTATGACATCGGGCCAATGGAAGATCGTCATCTCTGGCGCGAACGTAGCTGTCCAGCGAATTCTCAATCTAAACGTGGTTACGCCCTCTACTGTGATCGTGACCGTAAGTGGCTCTTAATAGGAAACACATCCTCGAAGAGTCCCATAGTTAACTAAAAAAAAACTACTACAGGCTACTCCGACCGTAGTTGTGGGAGTCACAAGTACACCTAATCCAACAAGTGCGTGCCCAGCTGCTAAATACTATGACTTTAAAGTTGGAATTTCCACCGCTAATTCGTATTAAAAGCCATCTTCTCAGTCATAGGGACAGACACGGAGACCCTAATCTTACCCGCCGGGACAATAACAAAGGCATGCGTAGGATCGACGACAACAGTAACCGTCACGCCAACCAAGTCCACCGTCTTCAGAACATCGGTAGTAGTCCGCACGACGACGGACCGCACTAGCACATGGTATTCTACGAAGACGGTCCAGAAGACGGCGTACTGCCACTACACAACCACAAGTCCGTTGCCGCCGAACACGATCTGCATCGGTCTCGCCTGCGGCTTGCCTCCTGACCTGCCCTCACCTACTATCTGCGTCGGATTGACCTGTGGTCAACCGGCGGCTGTAACCGGAACCGCTAGGGTGCCTGATACACCCACGACTAGCGTGCAGGAGGTCATCAAGGCCGTCCTGACTACGACGATTACTGTCACCGAGACGACCTTTACCATAACAAGCAGCAGTACCACGGTGGCTCCTACGCCGACAGTTACGGAAGATAGTACGTTTGCTAGCTTCCACCCCTTTTCTTATGAGTATATGAGTACTGATTATATCGCATAGTTATCACAACTACCACTACTACAGTGTAAGTCATGGGAACCCGCCATCACATTCATGCGCTATCTTCTCTTCTTCCCAGCGATAAGCGTGTTAGAGATCCCCCTTTCGCTGTACTAATATCATACACAGGACACCCGCGCCATCAACCGTCTGCAGCGGCCAGAAACCCGGCGTCACTATATCGCTTACCCTACCGCAAGCCACCGTGACGCAGACCAGCTTGTCATACTCGACGAAACATTCCACTGCTACAGTTTCGATTATGTATGTCATATTATCATCACTTCCCTTCTATTGCAAGTACCGAGAGAGAGCCCTACTGTAGTGTGGGATCAGAAAATCTCAGTAGGATTCTAACTAACATCTTCATTATAGTTCCACCAAGACCACCGTGAGCACAAATTCCAAGAGTGCCACGAAGTGCTGGCAAGATGGAGGATGGTTTGGGGCCGATTAATGGGGATATGAGAGAGCGAGTGCAATGTTGCGATGTTGACTGCTGGCTGGCTATCTTCCTCTGGCTAACGCAGGGTATACTTCGATTTCGGGCCCTGCCTAAGTAGCGCGAAATACAAAAAACTCACCAGCCTTTTTAATGATTTACAAAAGTGAGAGGGTAGGAAAAGTAGTGAAATATTAACAATCTGAAGTCATATGACATGCTCGGAATGTCAGCATATACCTTCAACAGCCTATGATGCCTTACCATGCCAACCACACAGCAGACAGCCCTTGAGCAGGGATGAAAAAAATAAAATAAGTAACGTTGATAAGCTAGTACCTAAATGTTTTAAAGTGATTGAACGACTATTATTAAATGGCAATCCACGGTTGTATCAATTATCAAAACTGGCTACTACAATAATTACCTGATCAATAGATCTATACTCAAGTAGGAAAACTACATTAAGATCATTATTCAAAATGAATTAATACAACTTGAATCTACATATAGTCACCAGTAGGCATCAACGCTTTACTATACATATCCGAACATCGAGAGCAAAGCAAGTTAAAATCTCCAACCATCATCACCTTGTTGTAAATAAAGATGATACTTTCGAGAGAAGAGAGGTAATCTATTCATCTGCTTGGATTTCAGTCTGTTCGCTCTGGTAACCTAGTTCTTGACTTATTGTAAAAAAGCATGATCGTGGGGGAACATCTCAACTTGTTTGTCCACCGCTTTCTTTTATCCCATGACTACTCGACCGAAAAACAGCATGTTACACCTAGTACCTACCCATACATAGTTCATACCGCCCACCATACGTTCAAAAACACCAACACTCTGCTTTACCTTCTAACAAGTTCACTCAACCTCAATTACCAGTAACTAACCACCACCTCACTTCTTGTCGAGCCCCCAAATAACAATCCCAAATCTTAGCATTGCTTTCAGCAATAAGTCGTATGGTCTAATGGTTATGATTTCTCGTTCACAAGCAATTGTGTACACAGTCCCGAGAAGGTTCCGTGTTCGATCCACGGTACGACTAAGCTTGATATGAAACTTTCCATTTTGCAACCTCACTATAATGATTGCAGTTTTTCCTTTTGCTTCTTCTATTGATTGATTCATTGTGATGTAGTATATAGTACCCTAAGCATTTGATGTTGTAGCGAGGGAAAAATTACCCACTTTCTTAGTATTATTGATAGGCATGGCTGTTTATTAGCTGATTTAAGCACAAAAGTGAATAAAGTAATGATGGAATGATGGATGGATGGATGGATGGATGGATGATGGATGATCCATGTTGCTATCCAGCGCAAAATGTTCAGTTATCTTTCCCTAGATTGATTGATATCTACCGACAGGGCTGGCTAGAAAAAGGGGTCACAGGCGCTCGCTCATCAATGATAACTAACTGTCTCTTTCACCCATTCTCAGAGTGCAAAACAATGCTGCATTGGAAAGAAGCCTTCACCTCCTCTAGTTGGCTCGTAGATGAAGTAGACCGAGTCAATGGATCCATCGGAAAAGCATTTCAGGGACCATATTTGTAAATTCCTGCAAATATGGAAACGGAAGACATTACGACTACCTTAACCAGAGGTAAAGATGCGGCAGCGCACAATCAACAAACATCCCGACGTAAGAATCGCTCGCAGGAGTCGGTTTGGAGTCACAGAGACCACGTGTTCAAGTCTGTAGATCAGATTTTGATATTGATATTAATTATTCTAATAAAATACAATCCATCGCCGAATCAATCCAACTCAGCATCCCCAAACCTCTTCCCAAAGGCCAGCGTCCCTCCAATGAGTTTCCCAACAACATACCCAGCATAGACACCGCAAAGGATCGTAACAGGCCACTTCTGCCACTCGCGGTCCCAATCAAGCGGAATCGGCACAGCGCCGAGCCAAGCGCCCACGCATGCGCCGACAAGGCCACCAAAGGCTTCGTCAAAGGGGCCCCGGGCGCTCAGGATCTCGCGCCAGTCCCTGCCCGCGACGCCGCGCGTGTAGAAGAGCGGGTATAGTCCCAGCAGCGACAGATGGAGCGAGCATAGGAATGTGTGGGAGAGGTGTGTGAGGAACGGGGCGCCGAAGAGGACTAGTAATACGTGCAGGATGACGGCGGAGACGAGGGATAGGACGACGGCGACAAGGGTTGTCTGTGAAGTTTGGATTTATATCGTCAGTTCTTGGCTCTACCAATAGGGTGCCAGAAAAGCAGGGGGGAGGGAATATGATAGAATAGATGGACATACCACAGCAATATTCGGCCCAGCACCCTCCGAGCCCGCCTTCTTCTTTTCCCCGGGCCGCAGTTTCTTAGACAGCTTTAGACCCTGGGAGCCTGCGGGAGGGAGACAGATGATGGTGTATGTGGCCTGCAGCACTAGGACCAAGGGCAGCAGATACTGCATTGTCGAGACAGGGTTGGCTACCAGCGAGCGAAATGACACGGCGAATGAGCCGAGGACAATCGCTGGATGGGCATGACGTAGCGCTTGCGCCTCGAAAGACTGTATTGTCCGGATGGCTTGTGTCGGGGTATTTGCCTCGCTGGTCTTCGCTGGTTCTTGGGCTGTTGCCGCGCTTTTCTTTAGAGCTTGCGACATGGCCGGCAGCTATGCCCTGTTTTATTTTCCGCTGTGCAAAGGTCTTTGATGAATTGTACTAAAAGGCTAAATGCTTGAGAGACACCCTAGAGGTCAACGCGTACTATGCGACAAGTTGGTTTTCGGTTAGGCGGCTTCAATTGTTCTGCATGTTCACGATATCAAAGGAAGGACACAGAGCTCTATATAAAAGTTGCTGCAGGTAGGATGCGCCATGAAACCCTGATTCACTGACCCCCTTGTAAGTTATAAGGGACATTATAACTGAGCTAGGTTGTATCGATAGCCGATAAGCTGATACGGGAAGCTCTCCCACCATCCCACCTTGAAGACAGGAAAAATGACGACACAGCAGTTCACATCCAGGAGCCTCAGTAGGTTATTGTTATATGTCTTTTTTGTTCAGCTTGCATGCTCCTAATAACTGTGTGCTATGGCAGACTAAGGCTAACTGGATTGCTACGGTTATGGTTGGTAATGCCCTTAAGTATTTCCCATCCTAATCTTGATGATAAAATAACCTAGTTCTCTTTAGCGAATCGATCTGATAATAGAGCTTGCAAGAGCTGGCGGAGACATATGTATCGTGGAATCAAAGTTGTAGGCTCGTAGTTTCCTGAAATGATTTACTCGGCCTTGGGAAGTAGATTCCGTAGAGAGAGATCGTAGATGACATCCTCCACTTTCTTGACGTGATACTTGACAGCATCAACGCGCTTTCGCACAATATCGTTCTTGAGGTTGAGCAGCTGGAAACCCGCAAACAGGTCCTTGATGAAGCTGCTGATGCGTACCGTCAACGCCACGTCGCCCAGGGTCACCGAGTTCATGGCGAGACGGCTGAGCTCCTCGGTGATATCGGTGAGCGCCAGCAGATACTCTTCGATGGTGACATGGAACGAGTCTCGGTCCTTGAGGTTGACGGGTACTGTGTGATACAACTATGTTAATGCAAATGTTTCTAAATGTGAATACTTGGATTGATCGCTGGTGATGTTTTCGAGATGAAGTGTGTCACGGCTTACCCTTTAGGATCTCACCAACCTCCTCAATGGTCAAAAGACGGCCCAGCTCGCCGGGGCGGGACTCTGTGCCCATGCCGCCGAGCCAGCCTGTGAGGAGGATCGTGCCCACCACATTCTGGACACCCCTAGACCATCTAGAATTGTATCTGCTTTGAAATTAGAGACAGAATCACGGACTGGGGTTCTGAACAAAGCATGTTCATACTTGTAGTATGGGTACTTGGAGGCAAACTGGGCAAGCTCTCCCACGCCTTCGATCTCGGGCTGGATGCCGGTCTCTTCAACCTGCTTGAGCAGCGGTGCCACTGGTCAAGGCCCGGTCAGCAACCTGTGACAGAGAATATCCATATCATGAACACTGAGAATACTTACACTTGGAGCTTGGTGTAGAATGAATGCGGCTGAGGAGACCTTGGCATGTGGAGATATTGCGGTTGAGTGCGGCTGTGATCTGATGAAGTTTGTCGCCAACCTCGATCTCTTCCTCGCCGTGAGCCTTCAAATACTCGAAGATGGCAGGATCGATCATGTTGGAACTGTTGCCGCTCGCCATGTTGAACAGTGACTGTGGGAGGTTTTGCGAGAAGAGACTTGGGTATGTGAAGGGTGGAAAAGAGTCAACTGCAGTAGGCGCGTTGACAAGCTGTGATATGTAGGTAGTTATGGTCGCGACTGTTACCTAGCGAGAAGAACGCCTACTGTTTGTACTGCAAATTCTTGACGTGGATAAGTATTTAGGTTACATACGTACACTGCTGTTGGGCTCTACGCACTCCAGGATCTATTGACAGTCCCTTCCTCACCTGCGGCTACGAATTCTTCAATACACACGAGATTGGGTAGATGGTTACCTAATTCGATTTCTCTTCCACCATGTGCCTCAAGTACTCGAACCTACCGTACCTCAAACATAGCACTCCATAATAAGCAACGCACCACTTCAACCTTCAAATCGCTTCCACCTGGTCAGGTATGCTCAAGCCTCTCAAAAGCCCCATCCGTCTTCTCTCCCATATTACTTGCACCCTACATAACCAGCCCAATTCTCATTGATCGGTCCGAGGGAGCTCTTCTTCACATCTAGGGACCAGCCGAAGATTGCAATGAAAAGTGAAGATAGAAAGGTTCGCGTCACCTGGAGGCAGTGTAAGACCAGGGACACAGTGGGAGCGATCATGCGCAAGCACAGAGGACGCGCTCCCGAGAAGGCAAAAATTAGAATAATCACGATTGAGTCCAAGTAGGACTCTTTCAGAGATTAAACTGAAAAGAACAGATACTACACTTGATCTAAGCCAAAAGGCAAAGAGAGCTAAAGAAGAAGAGAAGAAAAGTCCAAATGCTGGGAGGGAGGGCAGACATTTATAGACGGGGAGGGAGCGGTCGAGGGCGGCAGAAGCGGTGGCTGGGATGGTCTGTGCTTTGGTCTGTTTGCTCGTCTGGCCAATGAGAAGGCGGGGGCCCGCCGCTGCCTGATTAGAAGCCGGCAGTAAGCGGGTACCTGGACGGCACGGACCAAGCTGGGTAGGCGGTCAGAAGGCGGTGTGATAATAGGAAGCAAACAAATCCAACGGGAAGGTACCTAGGTACTTACATTCAGTTATGTGCCCAGGTGGTCTCGGGCTTGTGGGTTTCTATTGGTTCTCCCTGAACCCAAAGAATACGATACAAGACAAGAGAAGGATGAGAAAAAGTTTACTTAGTGTTGCCTAGCCATATAGTTGGATATTGTGGTGAATGAGATAGATCTGAGCTCTGCTTGGCCAAACGTTTCAGTTTTTTCAGTTTAAGTACATACGGCTGCGAGTACGAAAGTCCCATATGACATAATCGGTCTACCAGTATATCCGAGTTCACTATCAAGATCGTGAATGTAATTCTGCTCTTGTCTCTAAAAATCCTCAGCTGTGTGCAATGATCGACATAGTTAGGTGATGTTGATTTGATTGGTCAGCCGGACTCCCTAGAGTCACTCTATTTCTACATAACACTACTATACACATGAATATGTTTATACATCTAGTGCCTGGCAGGGTGCTGGTGTCTTCGTGGTAGAGGCGCAGACAGTGTTTTGCCAAGACGGGAATGCGCCATCTCGGGAATCAAGTGGTCACGGGTGGGCTTGGGAGGGTTGAAGAAGGCGTAGATCTTCTCCGAACCGTCAACTAATGTGCCCTCCTCTTCTTTCTTTTGGTCGAGTAACAGGGTCTGCTGCCTCGTGTCTTCGATGAACTTTCGTCGTTCCTCCGTCATCCGCCACTCCTTGGGGAATTTGGGCTTCACTTTGATAGTGTGGTGTCTCGTGTCAAGAGGCACATCCTCGAACATATCCGTGGGGTCCTGTATTTAGGTCCAGTGAGCCAATTGAATTGCAGATGATATAGGAATAGATGTATATGT